TGAAAGGTTATCTTAGGACATGAAAAGTTGCTTCCCTTATATGTAATTGTAAAAATAGCAAAAATGCCCATAAAAATTACAAAACACAAAATATGAAACCACAAGCTTACACGTATCTCCACATGGATCCAACAAACCTTCATGCCACATTTGGTGAAGATCCATCTACAGGGGGCGAAGTAGTGGTAAAAACGCTCATAAAAACCGCAAAACTGAAAATTTGTATGTACCCCCTGCATGGACCTAGTTAACCTCCATACCAATTTTGGTGAAGATCCATCCACTTGCAACATGGACATACAACAGATAACACTATTATATTTATATAGATTATATTAGAGTCGTTAGAAGGCAGTTAATTCATTAAGATATAGATCGACAAGGTTCCGTTTACTTTTATCATCTATCAAAAGTTTGAAGGAAAAGGACTTCCTCCTTTGAAACATCACACATACCACAAAAGAGCACGAGTAAACACGACTTTTAAGACATCAGAATACACGAAGATATCTAATAAAACATTTCCGTAGCCCGACTACCCATAACTCGGTAAGTGTTTATTATATGATCTTGACCGAACTAACCATAGCTAACATAAGAATTATACAGACGCCATAATAAGTAGGTTGGAATTACGTTCTCCCAGGCGTTTGTGGGTGAGATTATTTCAAGAAGACCGACTCTGTCCCCAGAACTGGGTTTCCTATCATGGTGATCACGTTCCTCTCTCTCGCCTATACTCAGCAAGGTAGGGGTGATCACCTCAATAACAATGTGCAGAGGTAGTCCACTTTTGGTGGACTGACTAGCACTAAATCGGTAGAAGTTCAAATTGTAGACAGACCTCTATCTCACTGTTTTGAACATTTATATTTAAATAATAGATTGTTTTATTATTGTCATTAAAATGTGTCTATTAATCATTTCTAATCCTAAGATATTCAGAATTTAAAGTAAAGAGAGTGACCGAATTCAAAATCAAATTGGATTCCATGGTGCAATAATAACTTATTTTAGTTTATCACTGAGTTGAAACTGACAAAATATTTAATAGATATATAAGAAAAATAACGTTTGTTTTAAGACTTAATATTCGGTGCTATAACTTATATTTTGCAAGAATAACTCGAAATATATATTTGGCTTGAATAAATGAAACTTCGTCTTTTAAATTTCTGAAAACGTGGACGTTTAGACTTAATATACGATTTGTTTAACTTGTAGGTATACACAACTTACAAGGAAAACTCAGTTGACGGCTTGAATACCACTAAGTTAGAAAAATTTCTGTCTACAAGGCCTGGCACGAACTCTCTTGGTAAGTTCCAAAATGTTTATATATCTGAAAAACGGAAAATTCATGTTATCAGTGGGAATGAATAGAAACCATATAACCCGAGCGCTTTCGAAACGTGGGCCTTTCTTCTTCAGGGGCAAACTTGTTAACAGTGGAATACCCACGTTAGCTGATTAGTGGAGGAACAGCCATCATATTCTTGGTCAAATGAAAGGTCATGCTTTTCAAAACGATTCTGTAGATAAATAAACATCCCCGCTGCCTCTGTTCTAGCAAATATCCCATTTCTCTGACGCATCTAACAAAACAAGAAAGTTCGTCTTGTTTGCTGCAGCTTTCAGGTATTTTTTCTAGTAGATTGCGCTGCAGTCGGGTTATCTAGCAAATGGCGAATCAATTTTTCCTTTTTAATGTCAGAAAGTCTTCAATAACAATCTCATCACATGCACAAATAACTTCATTTTGAGATGTAACCAGGGCATCCACCGGGATAACCTTTGTCTTTTTGTAGATATTCTGCCCAATCTGGATTCCAGTGAGCAATAAGGTCAACAACCTCGAGACCAACTACTTCGCTGGATGACAAGAATATTTAGACACTGGGACGCTGCTGTTGGAATTGTTCCAATTGCCCCTTGTGTAGCTTTGTGCTTCTTCACAAACAATAACAACTTCTTAACTTCGAGTACCTTGAGCCACTGTCTATAGATATTTTATTGAAATGCCACTTCATAACGAGGTTTCCAAAAACTCACCTTTAAAAGCATAAAGCAGCATCTTTGATTTTATTATACTTCAACCATGGGCATGAATTAAACCATTATGGTTGAAAACATCTCTTCTTAATATTGAAATAAATCTGTTTTTTTATACGTTCCCCTAGTCTTCTCGTTGTGTAACGATATAAGACTTGTCTTCCTCAACAATCCTGATTTATCACTTTCGTTGCCCAACGTGTGAGGGCACTTATATCGGCTTCAGAATGAAAAGACTCCGAACGTCTAAAAGAAGACTGTAGTCTGAGATATAAAGTAATTCCAGTATTGTTCAACATGTACTAGCTGACTGTGATGTGGTGGTGTCTCAAACCATGTTTAAAATCATTCTAAACCTACAGAATGGTATATTGCTAAGAATAAAGAAGACTCCACTGATTCGCCACACAAAGGCAGCTTTTAATAACCATCAAAATCCTACAGAACTTTTATTAGTAACCTAAGGTATTTTATAAAGAAATCATTCTTCGTTTGTTTGTTTTGAATTTCGAGTAAAGCTACACGAGGGCTATCTGTACTAGCCATCCCGCATTTAGCAGTGTAAGACTAGAAGGAAGGCAGCTAGTCATCACCACCCACCGCTAACTCTCGGGCTACTCTCTTACCAATGAATAGTGGGATTGACCATCACATAATAATGTCCTCACGGCTGAAAGGGTGAGCATGTTTGGTAGGACGGGGATTCGAACCCGCAGATTGCGAGTCGAGCTCCTTAACCAGCTGGCCATTCATTCTTCATTGGAGCTTTTAATATAACATTCATATTCAAGTTGCCCCTCGCCTAAAATCTCACGAATGAGCTTGAAAACTTTCGTTTGACAAATACATTGTGGATTTAGCCCAAAGTTTATTTTAACTGTACAAAAGTTGTTTAACTTTAAGAATAGTAAAATATTAACAACGTCTAAGAAACTAATTCAAAACTCGGTAAAAAAAATGGAGGTTTGGTTTCCTATGGCTCGACATCACTGGTGTAATAATCATATTAGCAGGTATATCTCAAACTTTTGCTTGTTGTTTAGGAAAAATAAACTATGTTCAAAAACATTTTTTTTTTCAGGTTTAATTATATTCTGCCTTGCCTTTGGAGGGACATTAGGAGGATTGGGAAAGAAAGCCCAAATAATGAAAGACTTCTTCAGCAGCCTTGATCAGATTGTGATGAAACTGGTCTTAAAAGTAATGTGGTAAGCTTAAGAAGAAAACTAGATTGTAACCTTGGTACGTGGTCCTTTTTTTAGTATTTAATTTCTGAAAGACATTTATTGTATAATTGATATAAGTATATTGTGTCAACTGCAACCGAAATCCTCTTTCTTTTCTGTTTTCATAGGATAACTCCAATTGGTGTCCTAAGCCTCATCTCTGCCAAACTTGTAGCTGTTTCAGATATTTACACCCTTTTACAACAAGTAACTCTTTTTGTGGCCACATTGGTTGGTGGACTAACAACCGAACTTCTGTTATTTGAGCCGTTAGTGTTCTTTCTAGTCACTAGGGAAAACCCCTACACCTTCTTGCTAAAACTCTTAGAAGCTTTAATTACAGCCTCGGCAACATGCTCTAGGTAATTTCGAAAATTTTACAAATGGTTCTCAGCTAATGAGAAATGTGTTTCCTTCTATTATTGTTATAAACATATAATGACTATTAGTTAGTAAGTAATTCTTCCACCCACCACCCCGAAAAATAAAGTTACTTTTTCTTAAAAAAAAATATAAGAATGATAAAAAAAAAAGCTCTATTATGGGAGGTGATTTATCAGCAAAGAAACATTTCAATAACGCATGATAATCTATATGTTTTTTCCCTAGGAATGATATTACTAAAGGAACACATTAAGGATGAGATTGAAAAATAAGGTAAAAACAAAGATGGAATATCTTTGAAAAAGAAAAAAAGTGCATATGGTAAAGAATGAATACTTTACTGAGAGTCAAGAATGGCAGTTGAACATTTTTCATTCAGTAAAAAAGATGAAGAGGGTTCTATCTTCTCTAGAGGTAAGAATGCCAAACAAGATAGATAATCTTCTCTAGGGTTAACAATGCCAAACAAGATAGATCATCTTCTCTAGGGTTAACGACGTGAAACAAGATAGATCATCTTCTCTAGGGTTAACAATGTCAAACAAGATAGATCATCTTCTTTAGGGTTAACAATGCCAAACAAGATAGATCAACTTCTGTAGGGTTAACGATGCCAAACATGCTAGATCATCTTCTCTAGGGTTAATGACATGAAACAAGATAGATCATCTTCTCTAGGGTTAACAATGACAAACAAGATAGATCACCTTCTCTAGGGTTAACGATGCCAAACATGCTAGATCATCTTCTCTAGGGTTAACAATGCCAAACAAGATAGATCAACTTCTGTAGGGTTAACAATGCCAAACAAGATAGATCATCTTCGCTTGGGTTAACGATGCCAAACATGCTAGAACATCTTCTCTAGGGTTAATGACATGAAACAAGATAGATCATCTTCTCTAGGGTTAGCAATGTCAAACAAGAAGTGTCAATCTGTTTTAAAAGGTAAGGAAATCAACCAAGATATGTGAAACTAGTTACTCTACAGGTGGGTCAGTCCTTCTTCCTTTAGAAATAAAAAGTTAAAGCAAAAAAAAGAAAAAGATTAATATTATCTAGACACAAAAATGACCAATTAGAAGGATAATTATTTCTTTAGAGGTAAGTCAAGCAAGAATGATCAATCCTCTCTGGAGTTAAGAATGCCAAGCAACAAGGGTCAATCTTATGTCTCTAGAAGTAAGAATGTAAAGTAAATTGTGTTATCTTAATTAGCTGAAAAAAAAGGAAAGTTTATGTGTGTTAATATGGACTATTACTATTCTCATGAAAATTCAAGAAACTTTTTTTTTGTTATAAATGACTGAAGATATATAAATATTTAGGATATTGTGCCCATTTCTTTTTTGTCTTAAAACCATGAAATACTTGTATTATTAACTAGTATCGATAAAAAAAAATAATTTAAATACACCTACCTCACATGTGTTTTTTAGAGCAATTACTTGTTATAAATAGTTTATTGTTAAGTAAAACTCGGTTTCCTGCTGTATAACAGAAGGTAAATACTTGTTTCCATGTAGTGCTGCAGCCATGCCATTAACGCTGCGTTGTCTGGAAGACAAATGTCATATTGACCGACGGGTTACGAGATTTGTTGTACCCATAGGAGTGACTGTCAACATGAATGGTACTGCCCTTTTTGTCACGACTGCTACTTTTTTTATTGCCCAGATGAACTCCATCGAACTAGGTGTTGGAGACTACTTCGCCGTTGTGTAAGTGAACAGGCCCGACTGACTTAGGTATTTCGTTTTTTGGCCATTTATTTTTGTCGCAGATTTAGAAGTTCGCCTAAAACAGAATATGGTAACTTTGGTTTACAGACTTTATCTTTACTTCTTTCATTATACATTTTTAAAAGACCTCTTGAAATGATATATAATTGCAATTAAATTCTGGGGTTTAAATCATGAACATACAATAAAATAAATGTTGTAACGTTCTATTTACAGTTTTATCTATTCATTTATTACGATGTATTTCATGTCAGAATGTTTCACTCCTCCCCCCAGGGTTACAGCCACTGCAGTCAGCATTGCAGCAACCTCTGTTCCGAGTGCTGCCGTATTCCTCATGGTCATGTGCCTGAATGCTATTGGAGCTCCTCTAAATGACGTCAGTCTTATTTTTGCAATGGAGTGGATAAAGTAAGAAAGGTTATGATTGCTCTGTTTAACGTGTCAACACACGGAATGAAAGTCAGTTACTATAACCAACACTTTGAATTTTAGCATGTGCAATAATAGATAAGACATCAATTATATTTTATATTTCTTTTAGTATTACAAATAATATTCATTATGAGACCTCTGGAGTAAAGGTTGAGCACTACTAAAATATTAAAAGACAATAAACACTTTTTTAATACACAACAATTCCATAGATATAAATGTTTGCTGGTCTGGTGTGGCCTTAATGGTTACACTCCTGTTAGAAGGTCTAACATTAAAGCTCGTGCATGTTCTATACTGCCACCTATGGCTGCGATACAGAAGTGTTGTTGTTGTATTTTTAGCTCAGAATCTAAGCAATGGTCTATCTGCACTTTGTCCACCATGAGAAAGTCAAACCCTGGATGTTGGCATTGTATGTTAACTTACCTCTGACCAATTTCACCTCTGGTGAAAAATAAACGAAATCTTTGACATACAATCATTAAACAGTTTGTCCACTCTGTAATATCAAATAACGAATTCAACAAAATGTTAAAACATTATTCACATATTAAATTAATTTAGGTTGCTATATGGTGGAATAAAACAGACTCAAAACCACATAGTTGTAGTATTTTAAATATACAATGTAGAACACAAAACATTACTATGCATAAAAAAATAGAATGCCCTAAAACTACTATAACAACTTTCTAACTGAGCTACAAATGGGTTTAAAAAATACCATTAGTTGCTCACACTGTTCTTCCGCTGTACACTTGGATGTAAACAGTAAAGTAGACACATTTATTTCTGCCTGGTTGAGTGCTAAATCTTAGCTAAGTTATTTTCAATTGTTTTTACGTTAATATATAGGTGTAATTGGATAATAAATTTTCATAGCTTAATCTGTGACAATACAAAAGCGACTATAAAAAGTTGGGTAGTCTTATGACATAGAAGACTGATATATGACATAAGTAGCGTATCAACTGAAACCATGTTGTAGCATTGTCTGCCTGAGAAGCTCTTTTACTGAACATAACGTTTTTACAGCTGTTAAACAATTTTTATGTGGAATCTTTAACTGAATCTTTTTGATTGTTAAGACTATACAGGCATCTAGTGGTAAAAGAAAACATTAAGCTTTAAAAACTGCCATCTTAATAGTGGCATGAGACAAATATAAACCTCAGATCTAACGTTGTCATAGTGGCATGAGACAAATATAAACCTCAGATCTAACGTTGTCATAGTGGCATGAGACAAATATAAACCTCAGATCTAACGTTGTCATAGTGCCATGAGACAAATATAAACCTCAGATCTAACGTTATCATAGTGGCATGAGACAAATATAAACCTCAGATCTAATGTTTTCATAGTGCCATGAGACAAATATAAACCTCAGATCTAATGTTGTCATAGTGACATGAGACAAATATAAACCTCAGATCTAATGTCATAGTGCCATGAGACAAATATAAACCTCAGATCTAACGTTGTCATAGTGGCATGAGACAAATATAAACCTCAGATCTAACGTTATCATAGTGGCATGAGACAAATATAAACCTCAGATCTAACATTTTCAGAGTGGCATGAGACAAACATAAACCTCAGATCTAACATTTTCAGAGTGGAACGAGACAAATATAAACCTCAGATCTAACATTGTCATAGTGCCACGAGACAAATATAAGTCTCAGATCTAACATTTTCAGAGTGGCATGAGACAAATATAAACCTCAGATCTAACATTTTCATAGTGCCATGAGACAAATATAAACCTCAGATCTAATATTTTCAGAGTGGCACGAGACAAATATAAACCTCAGATCTAACATTTTCACTGCCAAGGTGCCACATAAGAACACAGATTTAGCAACGTAGGATAACCTTTCTTAGTCCTAATATTTTTACTTCTAGGCAACATGGTAGAATGTGTCCACAGTCTCCAATATTACTTGGTTTTTTCATTTTCAGTGATCGATGTAGGACAGTGAACAACGCCATGGGGGATGCCTATGCTTGTGGCATTGTGGCACACTTCTGCAAAAGAGAGCTGGGACTCGCTCCTGAAAATGCCACAGAAGCAGAGAACTACTCAAATGAAACACCAACATCTGAGAATAATTATGACAAACGGGCACTTGCCACCCACAACACAAAGGGACCATCATAGAAAAAACAAAAATTATCACACCCATTTATAATTCCCCAAAGTGGTTCCCAGCATAAGTTCGGTAGTGCAATAATAATAAAAAATAAATAAAAAAACATTCCCTACATTTAATAAATGTTCTTCACTTGTTCGTTTTAACCTAATCTAGTTTTTGAAGTGGAATATACAGTGTTATATAAGATGAAAATTGAGCTTTTGTTTCAGTTTGTTAATATAAATTTTTTTGTTAACATTTTAAGACTTTTTAGAAATGCTGTATCATTGATTCTGGATTGTATCGACTGTTCTCGAAAGGCGAGTTAGATCAGAATAGATATGTGAAAGTACTTTCAATAAATAGAAATGATTACTTCTAACCACTGTGACTGTATATTTATGTATTGAATAAGCTTTAGAAATGTGATTTTTTTCTGCAAAATTTTTGGAGTTGAAGTTTTGTGTTACTACCATTACTACTGGATGTATGCAGAAACAAGATTTTTACAATACCTCATTTTCCTTCTGTGAAACTTCACAAACTAACATCCACTTCCAAGCAGAGAAAGCTACAATTTAACCTGGTAATGAATATGGCTAATTAAGTTGACTTTTCTTATGTTCTTACTTACAAAAATTAAAATGCATTATTTCAACCTTTGCTGATAACAATATTTTTGGCCATAATCCCAGTAATTCCTCATGAAATATAGGTTAGTCCTAAATACATATATAAAGATAACAATGCGAAATAAGCTCAATAACAGGGTAAACCTTACTTATGGAAGACACACACTAGCTGTTGGCTTCAAGTTTTGTCCTAGATTTAATGTTCACTGAACAACGTAACAACTCTACGGCTGTGGATAACTTTACACAGTCCTCCATAAAAACATCTTGTGACCAAGCAAGCCAATTCAACAGCTCCGACAAGTTGACTTTGGAGGAGTGTGGCACTTGAGATAAATTACTACAATGCATGCTACTATTTAGATGTGGAGTTAAGCAGCAGGACATCACCAATAGTACAGCCAAAAACTAATGTTTATGAAGACACAAAATAATAAGTAGGAAATTAACTAAATACCTGTATCATACAATAAATAGCTAGCATAATGATTCTGTAATGAAAAACAATGTTAAATGTAATACAAGACGACATTACGTTAAACGTACTATAAGCTGTGTCTAACACAACTACTCCAACTTTAACTGACCTCTGTCACACAGAGCAGACAACAGGAAGTAATAAGTAGTTAAACCTGCTGTAAAAACAGAACTGTAAGATGTGATAAGCCTTGAAAACATTCACTAGTAATAAGACTTAGGAAGAAAGGTTACAACAATCGTAAATATGGCAAAGAAAATAATAAACAAAACTAATGTAATTTAACTAATGATGTAATATTACATAAATTAAATAAGGTGGGAGGGGTCCAATTTTAAAAAAAATTAAAGTGTAAATGTTAAAGTTTTTACGAAGATTGTGATACTCTATAAAACTCATAATCTACAGCAAAAATACTGTTGGATTTTCTAAAGAACTCAATAAATTGTGTGTTTAAAGAGAAACCTAGTTTGTGAAAAATGAGAGTGAGTTTATAAATCCCATCCAAAAACTAAAAAGACCATCATTTCCAAAGAAATATGTCTCCTCCCAACCAAGTTATTCAGTAAGATCCTCAGAATACAGCAAATGTATAAACAGAATGTATTCAAAGCAGAGAAGGGGCATTAACTACAGAATACATACTTAACACAGTATAAACTTCTTTATGAGAAAGGTGTATTAGAACATATTAAACAGTCAGTTTCTGTTCAAATAGTTTTATTCACAATAACAAGATCTTTTCGGATAATCTTTATAAAAATAAGGCCTATTTTCTGACACAGTATATGCACAGTGTGAATATAAAAAAAAACTTAACACTAGGTTCAGTGCTCACTATCACATACAATGCGAGTTGTTTTTATCTTTGCCCTCTATAAAATCAAACGAAAGTAACAAATCCTAAATATACTTGCTTTAGTAAGTGGAGGTTATTGCAAGGTGTCTTTGTGCCAAGTTTCATTTAAAAATATAATGGAACTGATTGCCAAAATGAGTTTTTATTCTGGTGCATTCACGCCATAACAATTATTGTTGTATCAAACGGCTTATATAAATAGTGTTCCAACTACTGTTGTGTTAGTTGTTTCCCAGCCACCCTGAAGAGCTCTGGATTGAGCAAAATGCATCGTCGGAAATGAATGTGACAAAATATAACGTGGTTGGAATACTATACACTCTTCTAATTCTTGAAAGTCCCTAATGGACTGGATTAAAAAAATGAAATAGGCCTAATACAAATGTGTTTTTGTAAAGTTTGATTTTATTAAATTGGAACAGGAACATAAATAGAAATATATTTCTGGGTGTATAGGTCCAAATTTCAAGAGAAATCAACTCAGAAGTAAATATTGGAAACAAAGAAGCACAGGAAGTAAAATTTCTCCCTCGCTTTGGGGGAGAACATAATTATACAGCCTGCTTAAAATACCTTATACTAAATAAAACATTTTGTCTGACTTCCGAGATGTTTTATTTAGTATAAGGTATTTTAAGCAGGCTGTATAATTATTGTTTGTAAGCTTGTTTTATTTAGTATAAGGTATTTTAAGCAGGCTGTATAATCATTGTTTGTAAGCTTATCTCGGGAGTAAGACAAAATGTTTTGTCTTACTCCCGAGATAAGCTTACAAACAATGATTATACAGCCTGCTTAAAATACCTTATACTAAATAAAAAGTTTTGTCTTACTTCTGAGATAAGCTTACAAACAATGATTATACAGCCTGCTTAAAATACCTACATAATAATTATACAGCCTGCTTAAAATACCTTATACTAAATAAAACATTTTGTCTTACTTCTGAGATAAGCTTACAAACAATAATTATACAGCCTGCTTAAAATACCTTATACTAAATAAAACATTTTGTCTTACTTCTGAGATAAGCTTACAAACAATGATTATACAGCCTGCTTAAAATACCTACAGGCACTGATTATGAATACCAGCATCTTTCAAATGATGCTATACTGACAATACTTACAAGATCAGTACTAAACATTCTAAGTGATACTATACTGACACTACTTATATCTTCAGGTATCTACATTCTAAGTGATACTGTACTGGCACTACTTATACCTTCAGGTATCTACATTCTAAGTGATACTGTACTGGCACTACTTATACCTTCAGGTATCTACATTCTAAGTGATACTGTACTGGCACTACTTATACCTTCAGGTATCTACATTCTAAGTGATACTGTTTAAGGTATAAGTAGTGCCAGGTAGTGCCAGTACAGTATCACTTAGAATGTAGATACCTGAGGTATAAAAGGTATAAGTAGTGCCAGTACAGTATCACTTAGAATGTAGATACCTGACATGTAGATACCCTATTAACTAGGTTTCCTGTTCCAAAACCAAAGTTATATACACAATGATTAAAATTATCAAAGAAACAGCGGTGAACAAAACTTTAACCAAAAGGATGGGTTTCGTAATGTATCTAATTTTTGTTAAATGTTTCATGATTTACAGCAGTTGATTAAAGAACATACAAAATGATGTGACTTACAACACTAGTAAGATCTTTCTCACGTTAGTTTATTGAGTAACATTGGCAAATATACAAAAATATCTATGACAAAAACCTTAACTATAAAACTTCAGAATAATCCAAAAATATTATAACCGATTTTACAAATTCTGGTACATTATTCCAATTCCTCTACAACTGGAGCATTTGAGCCAGTCAATAATGATCGAAAATCAGCTAAGAATGAGTTTAATTTTTCCATTTTTTCAGCGGATGTTGGTACTATTTTCTTCTTTTCTTTCACAAGCTTGTGTTGAATTCTTTACGGAGAAAAATAATGGCAAATTGTACATTAAATGTTGTATACATCCATGAATTTACTAGCCATGAAGTAAAAAACAAACTTAAATACTTATGAACACATTACATAACATGCAAACCCTTTACTAACAAACCTAAACAATGGTAAATACTATCTGAATAAACAGAAATCGTTACGAAGGACTCCAGATGAAAAATATCTGATTTACTATTAACGTACACATAGATTCAACTTAGATATCAAACACGATTAAAAAAGATGGTCAATAAAACAATGTTACTTGGTTCATTGTTACAGTTTCCTAGTTTTAAACGTATGGATAATGTACTGTTCATATAAATAAACATTTGAAACTTTCTTCAGTAAACAATGTTACTTGGTTCATTGTTACAGTTTCCCAGTTTTAAACATATGGATAATGTACTGTTCATATAAATAAACATTTGAAACTTTCTTCAGTAAACAATGTTACTTGGTTCATTGTTACAGTTTCCCAGTTTTAAACGTATGGATAATGTATTGTTCATATAAATAAACATTTGAAACTTTCTTCAGTAAACAATGTTACTTGGTTCATTGTTACAAGTCCCCAACTTTTAAGATTTAAACA